TCATGCAGCCACAGCGGTGATAGGAATAGGATAAGGAAACGTTACAAGAAAACGTGTGGTTTTTCATTTTTAACGCCGTACAAAATTTCTCTACTAGGCCGATAAATAAGTTTCACTTCAATAATTTTATAAAAGTTTAATCGTACGCGGATTAATATGGCGCAGGTTTTCATTTATAGAAAAGTTGAGTTTCTAAAACTATTCTTAACTTTGCCTCAATGGTCAACAACAGAGAAAAGAAACAAGAAAATTCGATTAAATTATTTGGAGGAAATCAGCGACATCAAGCGGTGAAGCGAATAACGGTAACTCTATTTCTATAACACTCTCTGTAGCCTAAACGGCTTGATGGATTGTAGTGTATGAGGTACCCTTAATGACATAGGTTATAACAATTGAATTCACTTTTTTCTTAAATGTTTTTACTAAATACGCCGAAGTACCAAATTAACAAAACTTAATATGTTCTTGAACTAAATAAGATAAAATTAACCGAAGAAACGTTAAGATTTTCCGTGTTATGGGAACGGCTAAGACAGTTGTTGATTAAAATTAAAAGTTGTTTAAAATTGAAATATATTTCATTTTAGGCAAATCACTTCAAGAAAAAATTTTAACAATATATACAGGCAGTGTATATCAGACATAATTGTATTTGTCCTTTTTTTATTCGGTCTTTAGGTTATCGTCGATCCTCGCCCATAACCTATGGTACCATTACATTAGGTGATTCTGGATCGTAGATTCCCATTTAGCATCAAGTATTTATGTTTATAGTTTTTTATCAGTTTACATAAACTATAATAAGATAAATAACTTACGTTTTTTTTACAATAAGGGCGACAATTTAGCCCAATTGATGGTAAAATCATACTGTGGCCCATACACATTTGCATCTATCCTTGATTTAGAATCAAAATGCATATGCGTTTTTACCCCTGAGGACTCATATGGAACACAGTAAAAAAGGTCTCCGGTTCTCCACAATATCCAAACGCAACACAGGCAGCATTAAGCAGCTATATTACGCTGTTATTCTGTGAGAACGTGGTCCTTCCTCGGTCAAGCCGACGAAATTGTGTTTCGTGGCTCTACTATGTACACCCATGAAACAAACAATCAATTGCTTAAGAAATCCCAAAAATGACTGGACACTCTGAATACACCAATTTTAAATTTTTAAGCGATTACGCAGAATCAACTATTTTACTATTATATTACTATTCGTCGGAAAGTGCATTAAATTCCGTATACGTGAAATGCGCAAAAGTCGTTTTAAATCCGGTACGTAAGTGTATTGGCTAACGTGACTGAGAGAACTTCTATTTTTTCATAAGATATTTATTGAATAATACATGAGGAGTTTTAAATATGAACAGAGTTCTAAAAATATCAGATGAACTGAGTATTTATTTGTTACCCAAACCTGTTTATAAAAAGAAGAAGAACTACCTAAAACAAGTATGCTTCGTCGAGCGAATCTTGCAGTTTAAAGTTTTTTACCGTTGCCGTTACAGGTTACAACCTATCTGAACACAAACCTCCCCCACAGATTGCCATAGTTGCTACGTTTGGCAAGCGAGTTTATTATTTAAGACGCTGCTGCCCATCTCCTGATTTTTTCTCTGTTGCCTCTTACGATATCCAAGCGATGGTATGGTCTAAGGAGTATTCAAACACCGACACTACAAGGTCAAAAGTAAAGGTTATTACTAATAGTTAAAACACTTGAACTGAACACATTACAAGTAAGAGCGCATTACTACTTAAGTAATCCAGTTGCGGAACTCCAATTGAACTTTTATCGGTTCGAAATTGAATGGTAAATGCGATTGAAGACATGTTGAAGAGAAATTCACTTTCTTTAAACGAATCCTGAAGTTGTATATCGTTTGTGGTATATTAAGTCAAGGTATTAAAAAGGACCGATGCGGCTTGCAGCTTATTTAAAAAAGGCAATAAATATTATTAAATAAATTTTAAGCAAGCATCACACATCAAGCAGAAATCACCCGTGAAATCACGAACTGTTTTCATACCTCCCAAATATACGTCAAAATAATTTCATACATATCGGTGCGGAGGAGTGCGACATGAAACCTATACTTTTAATAGACTTACTAATAATAAAAAATAACAAAAGATGAAGAGACCGCAGAAAATTTAGAAATAGTTCGTAATAAGTGGAATACATAAAAGTAGCTTCGCTCTTGTGAAATTATTAATTTAACCAAGAATACTTACTTACTCACTTAATATACATACATACATATATATATATATATATATATATATATATATATATATATATATATATATATATATATATATATATATATATATATTGTTAAAGAAAGATAAATATTATAGAAAATTAGTAGATTGGCTGAGTAAATTCTAATATAATTCTATGTTAGAATTTACACTATAGATATAATTTCTAATATAAATTCTAATATAAAAGATAGTTCACGGGTATGTAAACACGGATACGAATACACACAAACACTCCTTTAAAAGTAAAAGTATAGTTATAGACTATATACGTCCCCTTGCTGGGCACAGGCCTCCCCTCATTTTTGAGAGTGTTTTAGAGCAAGGAAGTGTCCCACGCGCCGCCCCTTCACATGACTTTTAAATATTTTTTTTCTTATTCCTCAGACATGCAGGTTTCCTCACGATGTTTTCCTACACCCCCCGAGCACTTGGTAAATCAGCACTTAAAATTGCAATTAACAATTTCATTGGTGCGGGTGGGGATCGAACCCGGGTTACTCGTTTCGAACACTCCTTTGACTTGTATTAATAAACAGGCAATCGAGTGGAGAACAAGCGAACACTCGGGCTGAGTAGGGAGCATACCCAGAAAATTTTATACATGTTTAACCGTGGCATGTGTCGATTGTGAATGTTTCTATTGATTGACATGGGCCGCATAACAAATAGTTGCCACGATATTTTTAACCTATGACCTGTGATTGCCAAGTGACGCTGATAATCTTCTTTCTACTTATTTTTATTAATACTTTTCTATTATTCAAAATAAATGTGATAACATAAGGCAAAAAAGTTTAAAAGCTTCTTAAAGTTAAAAAAAGTTAAAAAACATGACTACCTTTATGACATATGCATATGAGATACAGTAGCTATTTATATTTTTGTAAATTTTTTTCATAACATTTTTATGTAATACTTATTATATAATTAAAAAATTGTGCAAGTAATTACTTATTATATAATTAAAAAATTGTGCAAGTAATTGTGTACACACGTACGAAGTTAAACTTCTTATCGGCATATTATTTTCTTTTCTTTTATATTTTACATAAGTTTGTTAAATAATAGTATACTGCAGCCCCAGCGGTGAAACGGTACAAAAAGTGAAGTTTTTGATTTTTAATACCGTACTCCATCCATTATGTCGATAAAGAAGTTTGACTTGAATAACTTTTCTTTAATTGTGTACAAATTTACTAAGTGAGACTTGTTTATGACACATCATTATTCTTTTATTTTGTATTTTACATAAGAAGATTACATCGTAGCATACTGAAGCAGCCCGGCGGTAAAACGTTACAAGAAAACGTTCTTGAACGCTCGCTGCATTTCCCTCCCTAAATGGCTACATTTAGCCTTTGAGCGAGAAAAGAACCAGCCCTTTAACTACCGGCAGTGACGACTAGTCGATCAGTTGCACGAATACTTACCAGCTGGCGGGATAGTAGATAAGCACTGGCTTAGAAAAGTTAAAAATACAGTTTCTGTAGTCGGCCCAAGACAAAGTTATGGTGTGTCGAAAGACCTAAATACGTTCATACGTGATAGAGACACGCTGCAGCCTATTTTATGATTTCAGTACGAATAGGTTGAAGCAACCGGGGAAGAACCGCTATCACAGAACAACAGCGCAAAAAAGCTAATTAATGCTGCTGTATTTCGACCCTATTTACTGGAATCGAGGCATTCTGTCTCAGCCTTCAGCGAGGACTACGTATTATTTCGATGCTTAATCGAAAATAGATGTAGATGTCTACAGACCACAGTATACATTTCCCTTTCAGTGGACTGTGTGCTTGTTGTTCACCCTAATTCTACAAAAAAATAAAGCCGCTACATTTTCTTCATTTTTATATTGAACCACCCCTGAACACATTTAAAAAAATCAAATGATTTTAATTTTAATACGTAATAATATGCGTCTAATGTAGCTCCTCCTCATTTATCTAAATTAGTTAAAAATGCGTCGACGACCCATCGCTACTCCAAACACCATTGCAACCACTACAATCTGAAACAAAATATTCTGCAATAACTAACCGCCATATCACTCAGCATCTTCATGTGGATTTTGGCTAATTAATTTTCATATATTTTTAAGAGAAATATTCATCCAAAGCTTAATAATTATTGTTGCGAAAAAATATTTTCCCTTGTTTACGCTACAGTTAAACAAAATAAAGCACCTTAGTATTGTTATGTTTTATTTTTAATTCATATCCAGTATACGGCGACAGTACCTCATATGGTATCACACTGGGTCCGGTCGGTATATATATATATATATATATATATATATATATATATATATAGATATATATATATAGATATATATATATATATATATATATATATATATATATATAAACTACCACCGACAGTAAACTGTGATTCGTAATAATATTTTTTTTATTTATGTATTACACGTTCAGAAATAAAAAATTTCTTCAAATTATACCAATGTTTGGATGTAACATTGAAGACATCATTCATAAGCGTGTATTTCACGAAATTTCACTAAAGACGGTAATAAATTTGCTATGTTTAGATAACACTTTAATAAATCAACACTAACAATAATTATTCACTGTACAGATAAGCGACAGTTTTCGCATAGAAAGTTTGCGTGCTCCGTGCAAATTTGATTCGAACACACAATACAAAATTATTTCGATTTGCGGCCTTTTCTTACACGACACATAACAAACTTTTTTTTATTGACCTCAGCACATGATTTTCTGGGTGGAAGGTTTGATGGTTCCCCCGAAGTGAGTACCGATTCTTTTTCGAAGGCTGACTAGAAGGCACAAATTAGCTTTTTTTACAGCTTGATGTAGTGCATCATTGCCGTGCCTAAAGGTTTTTAGTTCTTCTCTTCTGGTTGGTGGTTTATCATTTGTGTTCAAAATTTGAACAATTTTTGCATTTGCAAAAGAACGAACATTGACTTGCTCAGAATCGTCCCCACTTCCCTCAAAGATCATGTCATCTTCCACGTGTTTCTCTTCTAAAACACATCCCATATCAGCATTACTCAATTGTTTGGACATTTTACTGTAACAGTAGACTTTTAATAATGTATTGTGATATAAAACCATTAAACTACAAAAAATACAAAACATTCACTTATCGAAAACACGTCACGCCGTATGTGTCGTAGGGCCCCTCAGACCCGCGCGTAGTTTACACGTGTCTTATTTGGACAGGAAAACGCCGAGAACACCGGAAGGGGTGGTAAACTGACATCTAGTATACATCGAGAAGCTATAGAGAGGCGCAATGCGTAAAACTAACACTTTAAATAATATCGACGTTTTTCTTAAGTAGTGGGTCTGTTAGACCCACCAAGCATGCGGAGGTTTAAGTCAAAGTCAATAACATATATTTACTCTTAGTCTAAATTCCACGCCATGGCTTCAATAAGTCCTTATTGCGGCGGGAACCTGTGAAAAGTAGCGGCAAAAAACTCAATGTCAACTATTTATCTCGCAAAATTTCCAATTTAACCTTATAAATGTATACATAATTAAAAAAGTCCCAAAAAACTCATTATGTCCACTTATTTTAATCTTATAAATAAATAATCACAAAATTTATATTATCCCTTTTTTCTTATGAATACGTATATGTGCTTTAAAATTGGCTCCACGTAAAAGAACTTACAGTAACTAAGATAGAATAGCTCAATTCTTTACTATAGTTAACCAAATCTAAGAAATACCTTTTGAAGTTTAACATTAATCATTCCGCTATAACTTTGCACAAGCATTCTCACACAACTTAAAATAACCTTTTACGTAAATCAGAAGAACTATGAAGTTATCTATATTTCATTACAACGTGTATAGTCTTTTATCACTAATTTAAATTCGAATCTTTCAAACAAAACAAAATATTAAAAAAAATAACCAGTACCAACTATTTTACTTGACGTCGTTTCAATAATATGTCGTTCAGAACCTTACCGTAGTGTTTGGATTGGTTGGTGTTGGGATTAAAATTCATTGTTATGCGAATAATCGGCAGAAATATTCAAACAATCGTTAAAAATATTCAAATAATCGAATCATTATCTTTTTTTATGTATTATTCAACCGGTACAACCGGTGCGTGTTTCCAGTGAAGTCCTATGAATCTGCGATGTGGTTCTTCACTGCTGTCTGTATGAGGACGCTCAAAGTCGCTCAGCGAGCTATGAAGAGGGCTATGCTCGGGGTTTCTCTGCGTGATAAACTTAGAAATGAGAATATCTAACTAACTAACGTAGCCCAACGGATAAGTAAGCTGAAGTGGCAATGGGCCAGTCATATAGCTGGAAGAACCGACAACCGAAGGGGGAAAAACGTTTTTGAGTGGCAGCCTTGTATCGAAAGGCGCAGTTTAGGATGACCCCCACTAGATGGAGTGAAGAACTGGAAAGCCGTGCAGGAAGTCGTTGGATGTAGGTGGCTTAGGACCGTGCTTTGTGGTATTCCCTAAGGGAAGCCTATGTTCAGCAGTGGACTTGTGAAGGGCTATAATGATGATGATAATAATGATGACTTACTCAGGAGTGACTCAGGGGAGATATATAGATACATAAATTTATATTTTCGTTACTTCCATTAGTTTTAATAACCATGTTTCCACGTGATAGTAACAATTAATATTAACGAAAATGTATCCGACATCAAATTAAGTTAATGTGTCTCTGCGCCGCACGTTAATTATTCGTTATTAATATGCGTGGGGAAAAATATGGAAATTCGGTGTTATTGCTTCTCGTTTTGCCATTGGGAAATCTCGTTTCCATTTATTTTTAAAGTACTTATAGTAATCGCACGAATCGTATCAATCAACCGCACATTTGTTTCAATAAAATTTGGTTAATACAGTTAGACCATTTTTATCATCACTCTTTACTTTTTTTAAACTTTAACACTTTAATTAAAACAATAAATAATCTTTACAAATTTGGTGTGGATAACTCTAATTTATCATTAAAAAAAACAATATTTAAGCATATTTATTTAATTATACTAAATTAAATAAACATGACACTGAATCGTCCAACAAAGTAAAACCGCATCTAGTCACACAAACATTAAACTTAATTAAAATTTACACGATTAATTTATGTTTGATATCAAAACTATCCTTCACTAATAAAATCTATGTAGTTGCGTGCTGAAGTTTATTTAATTTCAAAAGATGTTAGATTCTCTGAACGCTACTACATCAGCCTGCATTGTTTACAATCACTTAAAAGTTTAAACTAGTTTTGCCTGTGGTCGCAATTCAACCATTTGGTAGAAATAACGCTTAGTATTTGCTTGCACATTTTTTTTAATATTTATCTGAAATCTTACCTAAAAACTGAAACAGAAAATGAACAGCAATAGAAAACTACGGTAACCTTTTCCTATGGGCACGTGTCACCTGTTAATCTCTGCGGCACAGTGTGGTACGTGTTTCACCGTGTTTCATCCATGAATATAGTGTTGTCCCAGTTGGTTATATTTTTAATTTCTCGTAAAAACGTTATTCTTTGCAATCATGTCTCTAAATAGTTATTTTGCGTTGTCATTTTTTTGTATTGGAAGCGAATTCTTTTTCAAATGGTTCTGAATAACTCTATACTGCTATTTTACAAGCAGGTATCTTCTAATATCCAACGTTGCCACGGTAGGATTTAAAAAATAGACTTGTTTAATCTATGATTCATAAAGTTTTTGCAAGTCTAAAATAAATTTTGTATAAGCAAATAACAAATTATAAAAATTATGAAAAATGAAAAATTTTTTTTATATTTTCCTTTGTTTGAAATATTCGAATTTAAACTTTTAAATTTTTAGTTTTAGATTTTCTATATTATAAATACATATCATTGAAAAAACGTCAAGCATAAAAATTGATTCTGTTTTTTTTTATATTTTCCTTTGTTTGAAATATTCGAATTTAAACTTTTAAATTTTTTAGTTTTAGATTTTCTATATTATAGTTTCTTCTTTTATGTTATATATAATTAGTTTTAACTTTTAATATTATAATTTTAATTATTATTTTAGTTAAGTTCTTTATTATAATTTTTGTAATATAAATTGAACGTTGTAACACCATTAAATATGTAAAGTGTAAAATAAAAAATAGATAATAGTTTGAAATTTAAACTAATGATAAAGAACTATGTATGTTGTAACGAAATATATACATCTTTATAACTCCTTGGATTTACGTAAAAGATTGTTTAAATCTCGCGAGTACGCTTATACAAAATTATTGCGAAATGACTAATGTAAAACGTCATAAGGTATTTCTTAGATTTGGTTGAGTATAGTTATATTATTTTTGATTGTTTTCCCAGTCTGAGATAAAAAAATATTGCAAAACTAGATGGCTTTATTGTGTTGCTGATGAAGATAAAAGAAGAAGGCAATATCTTCTTTCATCTACATTAGTCCATATAAGTCAATTGGTTGACAAGTGTCCTTTCCGTTACTTGGGTTTGACTTAGCCACGCTTGAAAGTTAGATAAACGATTACAAATCCAGTCGTGTTGCACCTTTGATGTTATACCGCTATCTGTCATAAGCCATAAAAACGTTCCGGCATATCACGTAGTCGTCCGTTATAAATGCTAGAGCTAGTGAGTGAGGTAACGTATTCACTAACGCTGTCGTTACACCAGTGGCGTAGCTACCTTGGGTGGCACCTGGTGCGGAAGTTGGTGGTGTCACCCCATCGGAAGTAAAAAGCAATAAATTGTATATGATAAAGGACATGCACCATTTATTATTCATAATATTGAAGAAATAACAAAACACAATAATAACTAAGACAGAAAAGGAATTGTTATACAATTAAAATTTCTTCTTTCTAGCTTTGACAGCTGCAAACTCAGCAATAACTTCATCGAAATTTATATTTTGTATTGCCTCTTGTTCGATGGCTAATGTACCAAGATTGCTAAGTTGCGATTGGGTCATTGTTGCCCGCAAATAGTTTTTTATTAATTTTATTTTTTGAAACTCCTCTCATATGAAGCTACGGATACGCAAACCGTCACGAACAATTTCAGTGCAATCTATATATAATAACATTAAAAAATATTATAATAAACTTTAAAAAATCTAGGGACACCCAATCAGTAACCTTAACTTTAGCGGCTTTTAAGTTTCTTCGCAGTCTTGGTATCTCCAAAAGTAATTCGGTTTCTGAGACCTCATCAGAAGAATCAGTAAATTTAGATGTAGCTAATTTCAGTTCTTCAGTATTCGCCAAAAGCAAAATATTAGTTTGTACGATCTCGAACAATGAAGCTACATCTTGAAGAGACTTCGAGAGCGTCAGGCTCTTTTGCGGGAATCCGCGAATCATACATAGAGCTGAGCTAGTGCTAGTGGAGGAATCCCCGAAAAATAAATTTTTGTGCTAGCGATTTATTTATTTTTTGTTTGTACATTGTTCTTAAAGTTGAGAGACCGGGTGGGTGTCACCCCAAAAAAGGTGACACCCAATGCGGCCCGCCTCCGACGCTACTTGCTGCGCCACTGCATTACACTTATAACTATTATACTACTTATATGCTGTGGACGTCATACAGTACCTTTCTTGTCAAAAATATTCGCGGACGTTCACACAATAGTTCACCAAAGTTTCATCGCAACTCGGATGAAAGCTGTAGATACGCATACGGGGCAATCAGAGATACATTCATTTTTATACATGAAAATTAGATAAATGGTTCATAATTTAACTACGGAAATTCTACTAATAAAATATAATACTCGTTTAATTTTTATATACTTAGAAAAGAATATTATAAAGAAATGCAAATACCAAAATGAAAGTTGTGGAATTTATTGAGATATATATATTTGGGGTTGAATGCAGTCGAATGTCACACATATCTTTTGAGATATTTCCCTTGATATGCTTAAGCGATTCAAGATAATATTAAACCGGTTTAAAGGAGCGGACGAACATAAAACTATCTGGTGCTCATTTGTTGATCTTATTCTATAATAAAAATGACAGACGTGTAGATCCAACATGTGATAAATCAGGACTT